GACCCTTCCTCAGAACTGTTCTGAGGAAGGGTCACCAGACCCGAAACGTTAACTCTGTTTTCTCCTCCACAGATGCTGCCAGACCTGCTGAGCTTTTCCAGCAACTTTGTTTTTGTACCTTCACGTGTCTGTATCGTTCCTCCTCATCCAAACAGATCCTGTGTATGTGTAGGGCTTGTCCGTACAGGATGGCTATTTTAATATGTTTAGGATGGAAGCTAAAGAAGAGCAGCATTGTGAGGTTATCCGTAGGCTTGCGGTGGAGGGAGGTACTGAGGTGTCTGGCCCTGATGGATATGCGTGTGTCCAAGAATGAGACTGATTCTAAAGTGTAATCCATGATGGTGGGATGAAACTTGTTGATATCGCTATGTAGTTGTTTCATTGATTCCTCGCCATGAGTCCAAAGGAAGAAAATGTCATCAATGTATCTGGTGTATAGTGTTGGTTGGAGGTCCTGTGTAACAAAGAAGGCTTGTCTGATCCTGTGCATGAAAATGTTGGCATGGACTCAAAACGTTAGCATGCTCTGTCTCCATGGATGTTGTCTGACCCGGTGTGATCTCCAGCATTTGTTGTTTTCAGTACAAGTAGGGGTTACTGTTTAAAAAAATCAGGGCCTGCCCACTTAAAACAGAGATTAGACGAAAGCTTTTACCTCAGAGGATTGAATCTTTCGAACTCTCTTCCTGAAAAGTTAGCGAAAGCAGTCCTGGAATATTGTTAAGGCAGAGATTCTTGTCAAGCAAGGGAATGAAAGGATCGTAGGAGTAGACAGAAATACGAATTTGATGTTACAATTTTTTCAATGATGATCTTTTGAATGGTGTTGCAGGCTCGAGGGGGCTGAATGACCTAGTCATGCTGCATATTTTCATGAGAATAGGTATAGAGAGCAGGAGGTGAGTCTTGGGAACAGGGAAATTGAAAAGAATGTATTCTTCATACAGAGGGGCTAGAAAACGATAAAATAGTGAGACAAGAAATACAATAACAATTGAAAGAAGTGACTGTGTATTTGAAAAAAGTTACTAGGAATACAGCACAAAGACAAATTCAATGTTTTAAGGCTGGATTGGTGGTATGATAGGATACATTAGAATGGATTTACCTTCCTAAAAATGTGACATGATTGAGGATTGTGTCCTACAGCAATCAGTCCATTTTCAGAGGTAATCACAAATAAAATGTTCTCAGATGCCTCTAAACTGAAATTTTAAAGTCTAATTTGCAGCAACAAGGCAAAAGAGAGAGGCCCCAGTTTGTGTAGGCATTTTACAGCATAGGTCAAAAATTTATCTGGCAAAAAGACAAATGTGCAGTTAGTCCCAGTTTCTCACACTTACGTGCATGTGGGCTCCATGCCCTGGTACTCCCATGAATATCCAATCCATTTTACTGGATTCAGAAATGGCTGGGATAAAATATGGTCGCTTATAGTGCTGTCTCAGGATACTTGCTGCACTGGAATCACAGTTACTCCTGTGGAACAAAAGCAGAATGAACAATCAGCAAAGGGAACTGGCTTCCCTCTTCCTCCTGCAGCTCCCACCCCATACCCTTCTATAGGTTGATTATGAATAACAACATATACCTGTACACAAGGAAGCAATAAAGCCTAAACGGCTCCATATTCATCACCAATACATTGCCCAGACCGGACATTGAGATAAACATCTTGAGTGGACAGGAAACATTCTCTCCTGATACCAGCTGTGACTACATTCAGGCTTAGTGCTAGTTCTATGGTGCATCCTGTTATACAGTGTGATGAATGCCATTCCTGAATACTCAGTTATGATCACTTTGAAGATGATGTTGCTTATGTGAACTGTCAAGTAAACGGAAGTGGCTAACTCGAGAGTGACAATACTGGAATGCATAACCATCAACCCTGCAAATCAAGGCACTTCCATATACCCACTATTCTAGGTCTATAAATGAATGAAGGAATAACTTTCATTCATCATATAAACAAATTTAATCACATACTAAACAGTTAATGGATGAAAATATTCACATTTAAAAAATAAATTTATGATAGGCAATCTCATGCTTGTCAGTCATTTGTGTTTCTCTAATGAGAGAGCTAGAACTATGGTGGCTTTACCTTTAAGCAAGATAGCCACGCAATGCAAGAGTGATTAAGAGCCTACACTTTACACACAAGATTTATTTACTGAGAGACATATTCCAAAAATGCATTTTCAAATCTCAATCAACACATTTATAGTTTGCTACTATAAAAAGGGGGCACAAGAGAATTCTGAAGTAATGCCAGTACCTTTATACAGTTAAACATCCAATTAATGTAACATTAACAATTTGTCTGTTTCACAATTTCAGCTCAAACTTTATTCTTAATATTGTATGCTAATCGTTAGCCGAGAGGTGATATGCATGTAGTAAACTGCCAGAAGTTACATTGCAATCTTTCTGTAGTTCAAACGGAACAGTATCCTGTGCAAATTATATATTAACAAAGGCTATAACCACACACACAGATGACACAGCCTCAAGACTAACAGTCAAATTCCTGGGCTAACATATTTTGTTTTGGACATTGGAGCTACTAGAATTGTTTAATTTAGCCAGCTTTATCACTAATCCTGTGTTTGTTTGGAAGGGACAGATGTGGTAAAGGAATGAGTAGGGCAGATTTCCTTCATTATCTAATCATTTTAAAGCCAATATTGTCTATATATTACAGCACCAACTTATTTGCGATGAATAAGCAGCTTGAACAACGAAGCTCTACTCTAATCCACAATTACCCCAATACATCTTAGTACTTTTTGGTATCAGCATTGTAGCTTGAAATGAGAACTGCGTGTGAGAATCTGTGTCTGAATTTTCCTTTTTGCCAAGGGGTGTGTTTATGGATGTTACTATATTGGAACAGTTAATAAGTAATAGTTACTGTATCCATTATTCTGTTAAGTTTCCAATCTGTTAAATTATTTTAAATTCCTCTTTCTTTCATTGTATTTTAACTAGTGTTTAAATAAATTGTGTTTTGCTTAAGGTTGAGCAGTTTGACCAGTTGTATTGCATCTAAGACACTTTACATGTGCCATTAAAATAAGAAAAAGTTAGTCTACCCTCTTAAAATATTTTTGAGGAGATCTGATCTGGTCCTTAACACTCAAAACCAATTTCACTTTCAATCCACTGTTCCTTTGTGGACTTAAATTTATCCGATCCCCAAGACAATCACCAACCTTCAAATGGCTGTCATATCATTCTTGTATTTGATACTTCCCAAAGCAATGGAAGCTGGTTCTAATTTTAAGATCCTTCAACTGCTTGAAAGTGTTAATTAATCTGTCATCAATATAATTTATGGAAGATTTGTATTTTTTTAAAATCACCATATTTAAATAACATCCCAGAAATAATTGTGAAACAGAATCTGAAAGTGAGCAAGCAACTTAAAACAATCACCAGGAAAAATATTAAGAAAATTATCAGGACTAAAATTTGATAAGTCCACAGCCTTGATGGGCTTTGTCATAGGATAGTAAAAGGACTGGGGCACTTAAAAGTACCTTGACATCATCAAGCATAGTCAACATGCATTGTGTGAAAGGGGAATCATGTTTGATTCATTAATTAAAGTTCTTTAAGTAGCAAGCAACATAGATAAAGGAGAACTGATGAATGTACTGGACTTTGATTTCCACAAGGTGCTTGCAAAAGGTGACACATCAAAGATTACTACAGCTCATGTATGGGGGTTATCATTCAATACTGACTCAAGTTTCCTTTAAATCTTACAAAGTCATACAGTACGGAAACAGACCCTTTGGTCCAGCTTGTCCAAGGTTTCCCAAACTAAATTAGTCCCATGTGGCTGCATTTGACCCATATCCTCTAAACCTTTCCCATTCACATAGCTATCCAAATGTCTTTTAAATATTAAAACTATACCTGCATCTAACAGTTCACCCCACAAACAAACCACCCTGTGCGAAAAAGTTGTCCCTCAGGTTCCTTTTAAACCTTTTCCCCCACCTTAAAATTATGCCCTCCCCTACCATAGGGAAAAGATTTATTCAAGTTATCTATGCCTTGTGATTTTATAAATCTGTATAAGGTCACCCCTCAACTTCCTACACTCCAGTGAAAAAATGTCCTGACGAACGTTCGGCCTGAAACGTTGACTTCCCTGCTCCTTGGATGCTGTTTGACCGTGCTGTGCTTTTCCAGCTCCACATTTATTGACTCTAGCTTCCAGCATCTGCAGTCCTTACTGTCTCCAGCCTTTCCAGCCTCTCCTTATAACTCAAACCCAGTTTTGGTAACATCCTTGTAAATCTTTTCTGCACCCAATTTAATAATATCTTTCCAAAAGCAAGGCCCAGTGTAGGCTGCCCTTTTCTCTGTGTTAGACGGACAACTCTCCAAGGTCCTGCTCATTTATTTTTCCATCTTCTTACAATTTATAATTCATGTCTGATAACCACCAAATTATGACTTCTCTTTCATGCCCTTTTCTTCTGGGGGAGCTGGGATTGCTGACTTGCAATCCACCCACTGTCCTCCCTCATCAGTCTCCCTGCCTCTGAGTGTGTGTATCTGTGCATGCTTACATGTGCATGTGCATGCCTGCCTGCATGTATATGTGCACATGTGCATGTGCATGAGTGCATGCGTGTGTTTACCTGCATGCACATGTGCATTTGTGCGCATGCATGTGTGTCTGTGTGCGTGCGTTTGTGCGCATGCGTGTTCATGTTTACGTGTCTGCGCGTGTTCGTGTTTACGTGTCTGCATGTGTTCGTGTTCGTGTTTATGTGTCTGTGTGTGTTCGTGTTTATGTGTCTGTGAATGTGTGTGTTCATATTTATGTGTATGTTTGTGTGTTCGTTCGTATTTATGTGTATGTTTGTGTGTTCGTGTTTATACGTATGTTTGTGTGCTTTCGTGTTTATGTGTCTGTGTATGTTTGTGTGGTCGTGTTTATATGTGTGCGTGTTCGTGTTTACATGTGTGTGCGTGTTCGTGTTTACATGTGTG